AGGGAAAGGTTGTTCTGAAGACAGCATGTTCTGATTACCATTCCTATGGATGTTACACTTTAAAATCTGTTTATTACTAAAAAAAAGATACAGAGTGGAGAAAAAAAAATATCTTTATTAGATTCCTTTGTATAAAGAGTAACAAAGTGCTTACAGATTCAAATCAGGTTCCTAAGTGACATACAGAAAAAAAAAAAAAAACCAACAAAAAAAACCAAAACAGGTAATACTGTAAAAATAAATCTGACCTCATGGTAGCTCTTACTTACAATTTTATATATATTTATAGATGTGTAGTTCAAGACATCTTTCTGTTATTGCCAGAACTGAGTATATCACCTCAAAAGCCTTTTTCAGAAATCCAGGTGTGGTGGGAAAACATCACCCCTGACTATCAGCAGAAGGTTTCCAGTTAAACTGTGGTGGTGCTGCAGAGCCTGGTGGGTTGACAGAACAAGAGTGCAGAGTCCTCAGCTTGCCTTGCCTGCAGGGACAGCCCACAGCTGGTGCTGACAGGAACACCTACATGGTCCCTGTCGGGCCCCCCCAGCTCTCCCTGGGGATAACAGGTTTGGTTTGAGTCTAAGTCTTAACTAACTACAGGCCCATGTTGTTCTGTGAAGATGAATCATCTCAGGCCAAAGAAGCAGCCTTTGCAGTGCCTGAAGGTGCTGCCCAAAGCAATTCCTGACCAAGGCAGGGGTTGTGCACCCCAGGTGGCACAAAGGGTTGGTGTCTTGGTGTTGCCTGGGATGCTGGCCCTGTTGCTCAGTCCCTTCCTCTAGCTCATGACTCCTTGTGAGGGGCTGTGCTTCCTCACCTTCTGTGCAGATTCCCTTTCTTTTCCATCCTTCCCTGGGTACATCCCACTCTGCTGCACTTCAGGCAGGACTGGCTCCAGCAGCAGGGGAGGCTTTGGTGGTACAAACCTGGCCTTGGGGAGGCAAGGGCTAAACTGGGAAAAGAGAATCCAGCTCTCCAGCCCCTGGGGTTCTTGGGGAAGTGCAGAACTATGCATGCTGATCAGGCTTGTTCTGGTTAATTTTTTAGCACAATGCTCAAGCAAGGTTTTTAGAAAATACAGGTAAGAGCTCAGAACTGCAGCGTGGTTGAGACAAGCTGATTATTTTGCCTTCTTGGGCTTCGTTAATGTCAGAGTTGTTTTTTCTTACTAAGATTTAAGTGCACAAGAGACATCTGTTGGCCACCATAGAATCATAGACTCTTAGGGGTTGGAAGGGACCTCGAAAGATCATCTAGTCCAACCCCCCTGCCAGAGCAGGGTCACCTAGAGTACATCACACAGGAACGCATCCAGGTGGGTTTTGAATGTCTCCAGTGAAGGAGACTCCACAACCTCCCTGGGCAGCCTGTTCCAGGGCTCTGTCACTCTTAGAGTAAAAAAATTTTTTAGGATATTCACCTTGAACCTCCTATGCTCCAATTTGCACCCATTACCCCTTGTCCTATCACTGGTCATCACTGAGAAAAGCCTAACTCCATCTCCCTGACACTCACCCCTTACATATTTGTAAACATTGATGAGGTCACCCCTCAGTCTCCTTTTCTCCAAGCTAAAGAGACCCAGCTCCCTCAGCCTTTCCTCATAAGGGAGGTGGTTTGGGTTTTGTTTTTACACTTCCTCAAATCCCCATAACAAGGATGAAACTCCTGCATCACACCTTCTTTCTGTCCACCAGTTTAGCCATTCAGGGAACAAGCAGATTAGTTCTAAATGCTGCAAATTGCCCTTAGAACTTCAGCATTTCTGACACTGCATCCATCGGGGTAGTTATTTGTGTCAAGACCATCATCAGATGAAGCTAAAACTGCCCTGCAATAACAGCAGCAAAAGGAGTTAAATTTCTTGTTTCTCCCATACCTTTTAATTCATTTGATCCAACTGTTGACTAAAATTAAAAAGGAAAACTGTTGGAAAAAGAATCCTTTAAACACATTAGCACAGTCAGAGTACAAATTACAGTAGTTAAAAAAAATATGAAAAGACCCTGGGCATGTATATATTTGGCCACACATTGAAAGTACTGACAGTATAAAAACAAATAATTACATTTTACTCATAATTGTTTCAAATCCTTGGATCAGATTGTGGAAGGTTGTCCGCTCATCATGCTTGAGTATCCAGCACTTCCTCATCAGCTGGTCCACCTAAGGACAACAAAAAAGACATTTTTAAAGGAGGCATGAACCATCTCACTTGTTATTCCAGTAACAGCTATGGAGCAGGGTCTCAGTACTATGAAATGGAGAACAAGGACAAGAACGTGCCTCTTGATTTTGATCAGAATTGCCAGGTATCTGTCACCAGGGTTTTTTTTTGAGGTAAAGGTGTGTTTTTGTCTGAGAGTGCCAAGAGTTAAGGCAGTAGAGGTTCAGGCAGCTTAAAACAAGGCAACAGCTCAGTCACAGTTTCAGGAAGGGCTCCAGCAGAGCTGTGGGTCTGCAGCACATTCCAGGGGCAGGAGGAGGCAGGATGGGCCTCGGGCTCTGCTAACCCAGGGGCAGCTCCCTCTGGGCTGCTGCACACTCAGATCCCAACCATCAGAAAGGTTCTGAATGACTTTTACATGGATCCAGACACTACAGCAAAGTTCTTCATCCCTCTGAAGGAAGGTTGTCAACTTGGGAATGACAGTGTCAAGGACCCTTTAAAAATAATGCTTAAAAGACTTGGAAATGCCTTTATAGCAGCTCACCTGAGGAGTCACTACTGAAATGGGCCTGTGTTGTCCCTGAACAACCACCCCATGTGCAGCCTTCCAAGCTTGTTGACCCCTTCTTCTGTCCAACTGAACACTCTACAGCCATTTAATGTGGACTAGACTTCCCTGGCTTCAATACATACACCTGAAGTTTAACACTATTTGATATTTTCAGTAAGTCCTTCTAGAGTTGAAAAGTGAACAATATTAACTCTTTGGATAACAAAATGCCAGCGACAGACAGTTCAGAGAACAAGCTTAGAATTCAAAGTGATCTTGGCAAACTGCTGAAGTGGTCTGAAATGAATGGGCTGTAACTCAAGAAATACCAGTGCAAGGCACTTAGCAGCAATAATCAACTGTACAAACAAAAGTTCTGAAGGAAGGATCTGAGGCTTAGGGAGATGCACAACCCGAGCCTGAGTCAACATGGACAGGGTGGAGGGAAGGGCCCTGCTCCCCTCACTCACCTCCTCGGGGCAGTTGGGCGGCCGTGGCAAACGCTTTTCTTCCTGCAGGACACGCACCAGCCGCGCCACCGTCATCTGTCCCTGCGTGGGGCCAATCATCTTCAGGAACTCCTGTGGGAAGAGCAGGAGTCAGCTCTGCAGCCCCTGAGCTGACACAGACCCCCATCCTGAGCTGACATGAAGATGACATTAGAATCTCCAAATGAAAATGAACAGTAGCTGCTCATCACAGTTCCTCACAGGCTTTAGTTAAATTCAACCACGGAGGCTGTTTTCCTAAGATAAAGAGATTCATTCTGCTTCTTGTTTCCAAATCGAACAGCCTTGAAAAATTAATAAACAATCTGATTTAAGAAGGCATTTCTTTCACAGCCACTTACTGCCATGGGACTGGACTCGGAGTCACAGTAGGTGAGCAGCTCATACAGGGTCACCCCAAACGACCAGACGTCCGAGGCGATGTAAAACTTGCTCTGCAGCAAACACTCCGGGGCGTACCTGGGGACACGACACAGGGCATCAGACCCAGAGCTGCACACACCTGCTCAGCACACAGGAACTGAGCCACCCAAAGAGGCACCTTCAGCACTTTTAGAGTCCCCCTCTATAAATCAATGTTCCCACAGGGCTTGGGATGCCACAGAAATAGTAAATAAGGCACAACTGTTAGACAGCAAGTCACTGAAACTACAGAACAAAAATCAAGATTGTAGGAAAATGAGTCATTAAGTGCAGGAAGAAATAACATGAGAGTTTACAAGTAGAGTTTACCAGGTGCCTCTTCCTTGCTCTGATGTTGGATCCTTATTTAGGCCTCTTACCAAAACAGGAAAAATCTGAAGGAAGCCTAAAAGCCTCAGTCAGTGGGAACAGACAAGTTACTCAGCTGCACAGTCTGGTTAAGGAACAGGAGTTGTAAGTTACTACCAAAACACGGGGCTGTCCAAGTCGTCCTTGACAGTGTAGTACTCCTTGTCAGTCTCGATGGCCTTGGTGAGACCAAAGTCTCCAATCTTCACTCTGTTCTCACTTTCAACAAGGACATTTCTTGCTGCTAAGTCACGGTGCACATACTGACGGGAGCCCAGGTAGTCCATTCCCTAGGAGAGAAGAAAGCTTTCAGGCTAGTTCCTCCAATACTTCACTAATTTTTTCCAGGTTGTCCATCTGTTGGCACTTCTCAGGGTCCTCTTCTAACACACCACCCCCTTAAACTCAGGCCTTTGGGTTCCTTATCTCTTGAGACCCTGTTCCTGCTTAGTGCTTTTTAATTTTCAGCTGAGCAGCCACCCCCTTCAGACCCTTCTCTGCAGCACGGGAGAGATGGCTCTAGGATTCAGGTGCTTGGGGACAAAGCAAGGAGGACAGGTTTGTTCATCAAGCCTCTCGTCCCCTCCCTCTACTCAAACATTAAACTCCTCAAGCAGGAGCTCAGGAAGGCTCTGGTGCCAGGCTCACCTTGCAGATCTGAACCGCGTATCTGAGAAGCTGTTTGAGATTGATCTTGTTCTTGTTCCGGGGGAGATACTCCTTTAGGCTCCCAGAAGGAAGGAATTCCATGATGAGTTTAATCCCACTTCCTCCTAAAAACAGAGCATGTTTAATGTACAGACAAGGGACCCTTCTCACATGATTAACACCAATAACCAAGCCCACAGCACTGGCAGCATCTTTAACAACATGATGTGACCGTGGCCAGACCATGGGCCAGATCCCATTGTCCCAGATCCAGAGGAAGATCTGCACCAGGCAGGACAGTTAACAAACATGAGGTTCTTCAAGTTTTAAAATACTGTTGCTCACATCCAAGACTTTGGAGACAAACTGCTGCTTTTTCTATGGAGAAAGATATCTAAACCTTTAAGATTGACCTGTTTGGCTTTTAGAAATGCTTCAATTTTGAAAGGAAAACCCATGTACATTTAGTGTATTCTTTTCACATTCTACATGAAGATTTACCATCCTCTGTGCAAATCCCCTTGTACTTGACAATGTTCTCATGGTAAAGATTCCTCAAGATTTCTATTTCCTTCTTGAGATCAGCAATGTGGTTCCCTCCACTCTCTGGCTTTAGGGATTTCACTGCCACTTGCTCCCCTGTATTGTCGCCCTCTGGGTCGTATCGGCAGAGTTCAACCTTGCCAAAGTGGCCCTAATTGGACAAGAAAAGAGCAGTAATTAACACAGCACTCACTAACCACTATTTCAGGTAGGTATGATTCCCACCTTCCTGTGCCTGAGCCCCTCTTACCTCTCCCAGATCACGGATTCTTTTCAGGAACCTCTTTTCGAAGAGTGTGGGATCCACCTCTGTCATGGGTTTCTTCTCTGAGACAATATCAGGATCTGGGAGTGAAGAAAAAAAGTCACAGGTCAGGCAGGTTCCTGCAACAGCACCTTGGTCTTGACGCCTCAAGGCATCCTTGCTCCAGCCAGTCTGCCACCTTTACTGTCTTTGTATCCCTCTTGTCACAACTTTTCATATTTAAATCCTGCCTCCTCCTCGGCAGGGAATTCCCTCCATTTTGTATGTGCCAGTGGATCCCCTGCTGATGCTCCTCACTGTGGGAGTAGCTCCCTGGGTCTTTTGCAAGATTCTGAGTCTGTTTTCTCTTGGTGTACTTCAAAGAATCACAGAACAGTTTGGGTTGGAAGGGACCTTAAAGATCATCTAGGTCCAACCCCCCTGCATGGGCAGTGACAACTTCCCACCCTGTAGTAGTTATTCAGCTTCCATATTATTTATACTCTGTAGTAATCTCAACAGAAATTAATTAGAAGCAGAGTTATCTGTGCTAATAATACTCTGATTCAGTGAAGAGAGTCCTATGGAAATCTCAAGGAGCTCAAAGATTGTCTTGAAAGGAACTTCAGCTGCTGTACAAAGTCTGGACCATTGAACCAAGTGGCAGTAACAGCAACACAAGTGAGGCCCCACACTCCTGTGAACTCAACACCCACATCCCATTTGCGCCTCTCCATGGGAGGGTTCACCCCTCTGCTGTAAGGACACAAATGTTCTGCCAGCACAGCCATGCACAGGAAGAATGCTGCTGCCAGGTGCCCAACTCAGCCACAGAAACCAGCCTTCCCTTCCCCTCCCTCCCTCCCGCTGACAGGCAGACCCCCAGGCCTTACTTTGCTCCTCCAGTTTGTTGATGTCTCTCATGATGGCCCTGAAGAAGGGTCTCTGGTGGGGGTCGTAGTTCATGCACTGATTCATCAGGTCAGCAAGCTCCTTGCATGAGGGTGTTGCCAGCACAAAATGCCCCTCATAGAACCTCTCCTTCTGCAAGGCACAAATGGAAACTCTTAAATCAATTTTAGCTTTTAACTTCATAAACCCACGTTCTGCACCAGAAGATGTGACCATTAGACCCTTAACTCAGTGGGAACAGTCTCACAATGGTGCCAAGAAATCACCCTTTCCAGCAATGATTCTAAACCATCTCCTGCCAGTAGAGAATTCGTGTTGTGCTGAATGTGGTGTAGTTTGGAGGAAACATTTAAAACACATGAAGTTTCTGACATGTGCAGATTTCACCATTCAGATTTTCCTGCCAGGTTTGCCACGTTACTTGTGCACCAGGGAAACACTTGCCAAGGAACCAACCCAACACTGTCTGCTCTCCACAACCCCTGAGGTTTGGTGCAGCTGGGATGAGGGTGGACTTGTGTTTCTCCAGCTCTGCAGAACCACCCCTGCTGACATGTGCAGGAAGCAGAGAGGGGCCCAGGCAGCCAGTTCCTGTCAGCTCCCTCCTCGCAACACAACTTGGACAGTGACTCAAGGACTCAGTCATTTCCTTCAGAGGAGCAGCAGCTGCCTTGGTCCATCCCCTTTCCCAACACAGCAGAACTTCAAGAGAGAAAAAGCACATTTGGAGCACAAGCTGAGGGACTCTGGCAGTGATGAACAGCAGCTGCCAGCAATAAGGCACCACAAGATTTATTTCAATTTTTCTTCAGATTTCAGAGGGAACAATAATGGTGTCCCAGAGGAGACCAGTCCTGAACCAATGTCCAAAAGGAACAGGCAAGAACAGAACCTGCTTTTAAGCAGAACCACAGTTAGTTTATAACTGGACACAGGTTAGAAAACAGCAGGTGTGAGAGCATCAGAAGCTCTGGTTAGTTATTACTATGCTGAGTTTGGAACATCACTAACAAGGTCAGGTTGAAGGAATAATAAGCAATTTTTGTAGTAAGGACAAGAATTCCTGCTGCCTGTCTCAACAGGACAAAGGGGAATAGTTTTACATTAAAAGAGGGGAGATTTAGGCTAGCTACAAGGAAGGAATTCCTTGCTGTGAGGGTGGGGAGACCCTGGCCCAGGTTGCCCAGAGAAGCTGTGGCTGCCCCAGCCCTGGAAGTGTTGAAGGGCAGGTTGGATGGGGCTTGGAGCAACCTGGTCTTTTGGGAGGTGTTCCTGCTCACTGGAGAGGGTTGGCCTAGGTGACCTTTAAAGGTCCCTTCTAACTCAAACCAGTCTGGGATTCTCTAACCTGTGGCAACTGAGATGGTCCAGCCCTTGATCACATACAGCTCAGCTGATTTCCATGTCAGCTGAAAGCAGCTCAAAGTGGGGACAGAAACCACACTGCCCAAGAGGGTATGTGGGAGATGTCAAGGTGAAGTTTATCTGTCATGATTTTACCTCAGCCAACGTCTTGTCTTTCAGTGGTGTTTCTCCATTGTAGCAGATCTCCCACAGGGTGGTACCAAAGCTCCACTTGTCTGCTGCCACACTTAAATTCTTGGAGTCTTCAACACACTCCGGTGCAATCCAGGGGATGCGCTCAACACATTCTGAGACAACACAGAACCAAAGCATTTGGGAGCTCATACCAGAGGATTAAAAAAAAAACCCCAGCCTTCTAAATTATTGTCTTAACTAAAATAAAGCTGTAGTGTTTGTCCAGTTTGAGGGAAATCTTGATTCCCAAATCCCTGCTCTCAGAAGCCACGTTTCTGTGGCTTTGACACGCTACAAAATACTGAGATTCTTTCAATATTGTCTCACTAGACTTGACATGATTTTAAGAGAAATGGCTACAACAACACCCACCATCAGCAACCCCCTTCCTGCCATGTAGATTTCAGGTTCATGGAAGCTGGTAACTATTCTAGAGTCAGTTCTACTTGGTACAAACAGTATTTCTTCCTCTTCCCCATCACCCTGCAGAGAGAACTCTGCCTCCTGCTCCATACCTTGTCTGGACAGCACAGTTATTGGGATTCCTGGGTCACTCAGCTTTATGAAAGGCCCGTATTCTGTGTCAATTCCCTCTCTTGCCAGGAGGATGTTCTTAGTACACACATTTCCATGTACCAAGTCCTTATCCTCCTACGGAAAGGGAGGAAAAGAAGAGTGAGTGCAGGAAGCTCTGGAAGTGCTCCAAGACACCTACAGCACAGGGGATCACTGGGAAATACTCCAAGCTGAAAGCCAAACTGCTGCTTGGAAGAAATTGTCCTAGGGGAAAACCACAGAAAGGAAGAGTAGGGAAACATACTGTTCACACTTAAGTATTTGTAGAGCTGATACATTTTGGAAAAGACAGAGAGCAGCAGCTCCAGGCAATGCTCTGTCAAGGTATCTTCTTACCAAGTAGCTCAGGGCACTGGCAAGTTGCTTGGCAACCTTGAATTTCCAAGGAGTTGTCAGGA